AACCACACAGATGTGATGTTTTCACATGTGACCAGGACACTTGGATCTGTGCTCCTGAAACTGATCCATATCTGATCTTTAACATGTGACTTGAGTGTGAACAGTCAGGTCACATTCATCCACCTACACGTCATCAACAAGACACAAACGTCACTATTCTGCACTGAAGTAGAGAAAACTGTTCATGATCCATGTGACTGAAGTGAAGCACATCTCCACTCACCACAAAACACCACCACCAAAAACCTGCTCCTTCTCCTTCTCAATCTCCTCCTTAAAACAAGTCAGTTGTTCATGTTGTGGCTCCGGTACGAGAGGAACTTTAAAATCTCCAGGTGCTCGATGCTGCGTCCATGTTTGTTCAACTTGTGTAAACACAGAGACGCTCGCTGCGGTTGACGTCGTCGTGTCTCCAGTGTCACATGTGGGACACTTTTGGACCGTTTAATGTTCACACTGGAGTCACATACAAGTCACATTTAACTGGAAATGTGAACCACCTCGAAAAAACATCCGATTTCACAAAAAAATCTGAATTGAGCGTTAAACCTGCAGACTGAACAGAGACTAAACTCATTCACTCAGAGTTAAAACAAACTCTACATTTAGAGTGTTGATCTGAGCTGCTCCCGTCTGTGTCAAACTTTACTCAACGACAGAACCATGTGACGTCGTCTGAAAACAGAACTAAAACCTCGAGCGCTCGGGTTCTAGGAGGATAAATATAAAAGCAGGAAGTGCACCTGAAAGAGACACAGTGATTGGTCGAGTCCCGTCGTCATGACGACCTGAGCGTTGGGATGGAACTGAACCGAAGTGAGAGAATCTGACGAAGAACGAGACGAGTTCGCATCAAGACACTTCTTCATCTGAAAGACAAACACGAGACTGAACCAGGACTGAAACTGGACTGGACCAGGACTGGACCAGATCTAAACCAGGACTGAACCGGACCCAGACCTTGATGATTCCTTTGGGCAGGTTTTCTGAGGTTCTGGTGAAGGTTCCGGTTTTTCTGGTCAAATCTTCATCTTCATCAGAATCTGAGTCCTGAACTGTAAATAAAACATCTGTTAAACCAGGACTAAACCAGGTCTAAACCAGGTCTAAACCAGGTCTAAACCAGGACTAAACCAGGTCTAAACCAGGTCTAAACCAGGTCTAAACCAGGTCTAAACCAGGAGGTCTAAACCAGGACTAAACCAGGTCTAAACCAGGTCTAAACCAGGTCTAAACCAGGACTAAACCAGGTCTAAACCAGGACTAAACCAGGTCTAAACCAGGACTAAACCAGGTCTAAACCAGGTCTAAACCAGGTCTAAACCAGGACTAAACCAGGTCTACTAAACCAGGTCTAAAACCAGGTCTAAACCAGGACTAAACCAGGTCTAAACCAGGACTAAACCAGGTCTAAACCAGGACTAAAACCAGGTCTAAACCAGGTCTAAACCAGGTCTAAACCAGGACTAAACCAGGTCTAAACCAGGTCTAAACCAGGTCTAAACCAGGACAAAACCAGGTCTAAACCAGGACTAAACCAGAACTAAACCAGGACTAAACCAGGACTAAACCAGAACTAAACCAGGTCTAAACCAGGACTAAACCAGGTCTAAACCAGGTCTAAACCAGGTCTAAACCAGGACTAAACCAGGACTAAACCAGGACTAAACCAGAACTAAACCAGGTCTAAACCGGGACTAAACCAGGTCTAAACCAGGTCTAAACCAGGTCTAAACCAGGACTAAACCAGGACTAAAACCAGGACTAAACCAGGACTAAACCAGGTCTAAACTTGGGTTTAGTTTTTCTCACCTTGTTTCTTTTTCTTGTTTTGTTTTGGGTCGATTTTGGCCCAGGCCGGAGTCCCGCCCATCGCCCTCTGGAACCTGCACAAAACACCTGTCAGTCAAACACCTGTCAGTCAAACAGTCACCTGTCAGTCACCTGTCAGTCACCTGTCACTGTCAGTCACCTGTCAGTCACCTGTCAGTCACCTGTCAGTCACCTGTCAGTCACCTGTCAGTCACCTGTCAGTCATTCTGTCAGTCACCTGTCAGTCACCTGTCAGTCACCTGTCAGTCACCTGTCAGTCAAACATCAAAGCTCCAGTTCACAAACATCAGACACTTGGACAAACCAGAGTTTATGAAATGAACCTGTGACCTCTGACCCCTCCCCCCCGTGTGACACCCCCCCCCCCCCATGACCCCTGACCCCTTGTGACCCCTGACCCCTTGTGACCCCTGACCTCTCCTTCATGCGCTGCTGCAGGTCAGATTTACTCAGAGACGTTTCTCCTCCTTTCACCAAATCTCTGCGAAACCTGTGAGTCACGTCCACCCTGAAACACAAGAGACCGGCTCAGGACCAGGACCAGGACCGGAACCAGAGCCAGGACCGGGACCAGGACCAGAGCCAGGACCAGGACCAGGACCAGGACCAGAGCCAGGACCAGGACCAGAAGGACCAGGACCAGAGCCAGGACCAGACAGGACCAGAACCAGGACCAGGACCAGAGCCAGACCAGACCAGACCAGAGCCAGGACCAGAGCCAGGACCAGAGCCAGGACCAGAGCCAGGACCAGACCAGAGCCAGGACCAGAGCCAGGACCAGGACCAGAGCCAGGACCAGAGCCAGGACCGGGACCAGAGCCAGGACCAGGATCAGAGGCAGGACTAGACCAGGACTCACTGCTCCTCGGTCTCGTCGTCCTCGTCGATCCAGGCGGGGCGTTTGATTGGCGGTTGCTGCTCTTCTTCATCATGTGATTTTTCACCAGCTTCATCATCATCATCATCGCTCTCGTCCAATCGCAGAGCAGCCTCAGGATCCTGCTCCTCCTATTGGTCAGAAAAACACACGGACAGTTGAGTCCTGGTTTAGTCCCGGTTCAGTCACCCTTATGTCACAGATAATACTCCCTACAACTGTACAACAACTCACCTTATGTCACAGATAATACTCCCTACAACTGTACAACTCACTCACAGTCCCTACAAACAACAACTCACCTTATGTCACAGATAATACTCCAACTACAACTGTACAACTCACACCTTATGTCACAGATAATACTCCCTGTACAACTGTACAACTCACCCTTATGTCACAGATAATACTCCCTACAACTGTACAACAACTCACCCTTGTGTCACAGATAATACTCCCTACAACTGTACAACTGACCCAGTGCCCTGACGACAGAGGGACATAATCCTGTGTCGTCCTCTTTTATATTTTATTTATTTTTCTATTTTATTTTGACTTTTACATTTACATTTATATAATTATGTTTTATTTTCACTCGTGTCTTTTGCTCTTTTTTATTTTATTTATTTTTTTGCTGCTCATTTAGAATTTATTTTATTATTTATATTTTTGCTCTTTGTTATTTTAAAGTTTCTGTTTGACTCTGTGTCCAAATCATTTCCCTGTGGATCATTAAAGTTTGTCTAAGTTTAGTCCTGGTTTAGACCCAGTCCAGACTTGGTTCAGTCCTGGTCCAGACCTGGTTTAGACCCAGTCCAGACCTGGTTTAGTCCTGGTCCAGTCCTTGTTCGGTTGGTCCAGTCCTGGTCCAGTCGGGTCAGTCCTGGTTTAGTCCTGGTTTTAGTCCTGGTTTTAGTCCTGGTTTAGTCCTGGTTTAGTCCTGGTTTTAGTCCTGGTTTTAGTCCTGGTTTAGTCCTGGTTTTAGTCCTTGTTTTTAGTCCTGGTCCAGACCTGGTTTTAGTCCTGGTTTAGTCTGGTTTAGTCCTGGTTTAGTCTTGTTTTTAGTCCTGTTTAGTCCTGGTTTAGTTTACCTGGTTTAGTCCTGGTTTAGTCCTGGTTTAGTCCTGGTTTAGTCCTGGTCCAGTAGACCTGGTTTAGACCTGGTTTAGTCCTGGTTTAGTCCTGGTTTAGTCTTGTTTTTAGTCCTGGTCCAGACCTGGTTTAGACCTGGTTTAGTCCTGGTTTAGTCTTGTTTTTAGTCCTGGTTTAGTCCTGGTTTTAGTCCTGGTTTAGTCCTGGTTTAGTCCTGGTTTAGTCCTGGTTTAGTCCTGGTTTTAGTCCTGGTTTAGTCCTGGTTTTAGTCCTGGTTTAGTCCTGGTTTAGTCCTGTTTTAGTCCTGGTTTACTTCTGGTTCAGTTCTGGTTTTAGTCCTGGTCCAGACCTGGTTTAGTCCTGGTTTAGTCCTGGTCCAGACCTGGTTCAGTTGGGTCAGGAGTTCTTCTTCGTCTGTTCTGAACAGCGCTTGTTCCAGGAGGCGGGTGGATGTTTCTTCTTCTCCGAGCGCAGCGACTCTCCGGACGTTTTCCTCCCGGCGCCGCGCCTCTTTCTCCGGGTTCCACTTGGCGGGTTTCGGCCTCTTCCTCCGCGGCCCCAGAGGCTCCGGCGCCGACGGGAGTTTCATGAAACCACTGTCCTCCATGACCCGAACCGAACCGAACCAAACCAGAACCAAACCGACCCAAACAGACCCGCCGCGGAACCGAACAGAACCGAACAGACACACGTGAGGCTCCCCGTGTGTTTACCACGGACATGAGTTTCCGGCTCACACAGGAAGTGCTTCAGTAAACAGCGCTGGGGTTGACTCCGCCCCCTGGTGTTTGTGGGAGGAACTGCAGCCGCAGCGTCAAAAACACGTCTGAATATTTTTATAAATAAATAGTTAAAAATGAGAAAATAAATCTGTGGAACACGGTCCCACATGATTTATTTAAGCAATTAGGAGGAATTAGGGGCAGAGGGAGAGGGAAGTCCGGGTTTAGACCTGGTTTAGTCCTGGGTTAGTTCTGCTTAAGTCCTAATTTAATTGGTCCCTTTTTGATTTGATCTCCATTAGTCCTGGTTCAGTCCTGGTTCAGTCCTGGTTCATGTTCTTCTTCTGAGCAGAGACTCCCAGACTTCCTTCACCCCAGACACTTCCTCCAGCTCCTCCAGTGGGACCTGAGGTGTTCCCAGTCCAGTCCAGAGACATGGTCCCTCCAGTGTGTCCTGGGTCTCCTCCTCCTCCTGCTGGGACATGAACACCTCCTGAGGGACACGTCCAGGAGACGTCAGAACAGACGTCCTCCCCTCAGACGCTCCTCTCCACGTGGAGGAGCAGCGGCTCTACTCCGAGCTCCGACCTCTGTCTCTAAGGGAGACGCCCGGACGTCCTGCGGAGGAAACTCATCTGTGTCTCTTGTATCGTAGATCTGGTCCTTCGGGTCATGACCAGAGCTCATGACCTGAGGTGATGTAATTATACAGTGGATAAAATTCCAATCAAATTATTTCATTTCCATAAACAGACTTTGTTTTCCTGGAGGCTGATCTACAAACACAACTCACCAACCACATGATGGATTTGGAAAAAAACAAAACCTGCAGCATCGAAATAAAACACTGTTCAAAAGTTGATTTGATCAACAAATCTGAGTCAATGAAAGAATAATCACGAGTGGATACGGTCGAACAATGAACTTTTCACTAAAAACCACCTCAAATTTCACCACAGAACATGAGGACAGATCCAGACCTGCAGCTGATGAAACTCTTCAGTTTAACTGGACAGATCAACAGAACCACCAAAACATAAAATATCCTGCTTCAGTCCTGGTTTAGTCCTGGTTTAGACCTGGTTTAGTCCTGGTTTAGACCTGGTTTAGACCTGGTTTAGTCCTGGTTTAGACCTGGTTTAGACCTGGTTTAGTCCTGGTTCAGTCCTGGTTTAATCCTGGTTTAGTACTGGTTTAGACCTGGTTTAGTCCTGGTTTAGACCTGGTTTAGTCCTGGTTTAGTCCTGGTTCAGTTTTAGACCTGGTTTAGACCTGGTTTAGACCTGGTTCAATCCTGGTTTAGTCCTGGTTCAGTCCTGGTTTAGTCCTGGTTTAGTCCTGGTTTAGTCCTGGTTCAGTCCTGGTTTAGACCTGGTTTAGATCTGGTTCAGTCCTGGTTTTAGTCCTGGTTTAGTCCTGGTTTAGACCTGGTTTAGTCCTGGTTTAGTCCTGGTTCAGTCCTGGTTTAGTCTCGTGTCTGAAATAAATCCAGAGTCAGATTTTGTGAGTAACTTTTTTATTTCAGATTTTTAGTTTCAGTTTCAGTTTCATGCAGAACGACGTCATGTTTGAACAGCCAATCACGCGCCTCGAACGGACCAGCGATTTATGTCCAAACGCTCATAAGGCAAAGAGAGAGAGGGAGGGGCCGAAGGGGGGTCCTGGTTTAGTCCTGGTTTAGTTCTAGTTTAGTCCTGGTTTAGTTCTAGTTTAGTCCTGGTTTAGTTCTAGTTTAGTCCTGGTTTCATTTCCAGTGTTAAACTTAATAAACACACAGTTTGTTCAAAGTAGCAGCTGAATTCAACAAAACAAAATAAAACAAAGACAAACGAACAACAGAATCCAAGTCCAGACCCAGACCCAGTCCAGACCCAGTCCAGACCCAGTCCAGACCCAGACCGGAGGACGGTTCAGGAACAGCTGCTTCTAAGAACATCGACCCAATCCAGTTCAGACCAAAATCCAAAACTAACTCATGTGAAAGACCTCATGTAGTCCTGGTTTAGTCCTGCTTTAGTCCTGTTTCAGACCTGTTTCAGTCCTGGTTTAGTCCTGGTTACCTCCACCAAGGAGGTTATGTTTTTGCCGGCGTTTGTTTGTTTGTTTGTTTGTCTGTTTGTTTGTTTGTCTGTTAGCAACATAACTCAAAAAGTTATGGACCGATTTTGATGAAATTTTCAGGATTTGTTGGAAATGTGAAAAGGAAGAACTGATTTCATTTTGGGGCTGATCCAGAACTTTGAAATTTTAGTTAACATTGTGGTAAATGGGGCCAAACATTTAGTTTCTCAATATCTGGGTTAATTATTGACCAAACCCCATGAAATGTGACTCAGAGATGGACAATGGGATCCTCTTTCATATTCCAAAGGCTGATCCAGATCTGATCCAGAAGACGGATTTTATCGCAATTTATATAAAAACTGGGGGTGGTCCTTGGCGGAGGTCTGCGCTCTCTGACTGCTTTTCTAGTTTAGTCCTGGTTTAGTCCTGGTTTAGTCCTAGTTTAGTCCTAGTTTAGTCCTAGTTTAGTCCTGGTTCAGTCCTGGTTCAGTCCTGGTTCAGTCCTGGTTTAGTCCTGGTTTAGTTCTGGTCTGAGTTGTATTCTGAGTTTTGACATTTTGGTTTCACTTTAACATCTTTAAAATGCTGTAAACTATGAATCATGGGTAATGTAGTCCACATGCAGGAGCGACAGGAGCGACAGGAGCGACAGGAGCGGCAGGAGCAGATCCCGGGTGGGTTCAGACAGGACCGCCTCAAATTGGCACTTTTTAAGAATCCACTAAAAAAAGCTGAAGAGTCGAAGAAGTTTGTGTCGGAAACTCAAAGTGCAGGTGCAAAATCAGAGCAGGGACTTCACCTGTCGACAGGCGGCAGGGGCGGAGGGGCAGGGACTTCACCTGTCGACAGGCGGCAGGGGCGGAGGGGCAGGGACTTCACCTGTCGACAGGCGGCAGGGGCGGAGGGGCAGGGACTTCACCTGTCGACAGGCGGCAGGGGCGGAGGGGCAGGGACTTCACCTGGCGACAGGCGGCAGGGGCGGAGCTCCACGCATCACTGCAACGACAACGAGAGCGACGAGTGAGGAATCGAACCCACAACCTGCTACAGGCACAGAGAAAACAACTCCACTCACAGACCTGGTTTAGACCTGGTTTAGACCTGGTTTAGTCCTGGTTTAGACCTGGTTTAGACCTGGTTTAGACCTGGTTTAGACCTGGTTTAGACCTGGTTTAGACCTGGTTTAGACCTGGTTTAGACCTGGTTTACCTGGTTCCTGGTTTAGACCTGGTTTAGACCTGGTTTAGTTTCCTGGTTTAGACCTGGACCTGGTTCAGACCTGGTTTAGACCTGGTTCTGGTTTAGAGTCCTGGTTTAGACCAGACCCTGGTTTAGACCCCTGGTTCAGACCTGGTTCAGACCTGGTTTCAGTAGACCCCGGTTTAGACCTGGTTTAGACCCGGTTCAGGTTCAGACCGGTTCAGACCCGGTTTCAGACCTGGTTTCAGACCTGGTTTAGACCTGGTTTAGACCTGGTTTAGACCTGGTTTCAGACCTGGTTTAGACCTGGTTTAGAGTTTCCTGGTTTAGACCTGGTTTAGACCTGGACCTGTTCAGACTGGTTAGACCTGGTTTAGACCTGGTTTAGACCTGGTTTCAGACCCTGGTTCAGACCGGTTCAGACCCGGTTTAGACAGACCTGGTTCAGACCAGACCTGGTTCAGACCTGGTTTAGACCTGGTTCAGACCCCTGGTTCAGACCTGGTTTAGACCTGGTTTAGACCTGGTTTAGACCTGGGCCTGGTTTAGACCTGGTTTAGACCTGGTTTAGACCTGGTTTAGACCTGGTTTTAGACCTGGTTTAGACCTGGTTTAGACCTGGTTCTGGTTTAGACCTGGTTTAGACCTGGTTTCAGACCTGGTTTAGACCTGGTTTAGACCTGGTTCAGACCTGGTTAGACCAGACCCTGGTTTCAGACCTGGTTTAGACCTGGTTTAGACCTGGTTTAGACCTGGTTTCAGACCTGGTTTAGACTGGTTTAGACCTGGTTTAGACCTGGTTTAGACTGGTTTCAGACCTGGTTCAGACCTGGTTTCAGACCTGGTTTAGACCTGGTTTAGACCTGGTTTAGACCTGGTTTAGACCTGGGACCTGGTTCAGACCTGGTTTAGACCTGGTTTAGACCTGGTTCAGACCTGGTTTAGACCTGGTTTAGACCTGGTTTAGACCAGACCTGGTTTCTGGTTTAGACCTGGGACCTGGTTTAGACCTGGGTGGTTAGACCTGGTTTAGACCTGGTTTAGACCTGGTTCAGACCTGGTTTAGACCTGGTTTAGACCTGGTTTTAGACCTGGTTAGACCTGGTTTAGACCTGGTTTAGACCTGGTTTAGACCTGGTTTAGACCTGGTTTAGACCTGGTTCAGACCTGGTTTAGACCTGGTTTAGACCTGGTTTAGACCTGGTTCAGACCTGGTTTACCTCGGTTGGCTTTGCTGGGGTAGATCTTGGTGAAGTGTCTGAATTCTTCTGGAGGAGGAAAATCGTCCAAAGGATGAAACGAATATTTAGACTCAAAATCATCTGAAAAACAAAGAAACAGAAAAAATGAAAAAAACAAACGAGAAAAACTGAAAACACAAAACGACAAAGAGAAAGAGAAAGAGAAAGAGACAGGACCAAGAATCAGGGACGGACGAGTCCTGGTCTAGTCCTGGTCCGGTCCTGGTCTAGTCCTGGGTTAGTCCTGGTCTAGTCCTGGGTTAGTCCTGGTCTGGTACTGGTCCGGTCCTGGTCTAGTCCTGTTCTGGTCCTGGTCTAGTCCTGGGTTAGTCCTGGTCCGGTCCTGGTCCGGTCCTGGGTTAGTCCTGGTCCGGTCCTGGTCCGGTCTTGGTCTAGTCCTGGTCCTGGTCCGGTCTTGGTCTAGTCCTGGGTTAGTCCTGGTCCGGTCCTGGTCCGGTCCTGGTCCAGTCCTGGGTTAGTCCTGGTCTGGTCCTGGTCCGGTCCTGGTCCAGTCCTGGGTTAGTCCTGGTCTGGTCCTGGTCCGGTCCTGGTCCTGGTCCGGTCTTGGTCCAGACTCACCGATGTGGACTCGGGGGGAGCAGGGTCCGTTGCGGTGGGGGTGGGAGGGGGGCGGGGGGGGCGGGGCTGCGGGGGTGCGCGGGGGAGGGGGGGGCTTTCCTCTGGAGG